TAAGGTCCGGAGATTCGACCATTGCAAGCTTATAATTGGAAAGTTGATTTTCCACCAAAATTACAACACTTTATGTGGCAACTTCTTACAGGATGTGTGTCAGTTTCAGCAAATCTAAAGAAACGGGGAATAAACTGTGATTCCGGTTGTGCTAGATGTGGGGATTTGGAGGAGACGATAAATCATGCAATTTTTTAATGTCCGTCGACAATACAAACTTAGGCCTTATCACTGGTTCCAACATCGGTTGTGGTTTTTCCATCAGCTTTTTCTGTATACTAATATGGATTATTTATTTTGGCGAACACTTGATTCAAATAGTTTTATGTACCCATGGATTATGTGGTATATATAGAAGGCTAAGAGCGCAAAGATTTATAACAATGTGGATATGGATCCAAGAGAGGTTTTACGATTAGCATGAGTGGAGGAAAAATCATGGACTCTGTCACAACAGAAGGAAAATAGTTAAATTAGTGGTCCAATGGCAAAGGGTTATTCATAATGTAGGGGAAGAGAAATATTAGAGTCAAATTCCCCCGGATATATGAGCTTTATAGATGGATCTTGGAAAGAAAATAATGCCTTTTCAGGACTAGGTTGGTTTTGTTCTCTACCGAATGAAAGTTTGCAAAGTATGGGAGCTGCGAATCTTCGAAAAAACTTAAACATCTATTCATGCAGAGGTAGAAGCACTCGTCTGGGTAATGCGATATATGATTGGCCAAGACAAGCAAAAAGTAGTTTTCTATACAGACTTCTCAGACTTAGTGAAGATGGTGTCTTCTCCGAGCGAGTGGACAACGATTTTTCATACTTGGAGGCGATTTAGACTGACCAGGAGGAATTCACTTTTTTTTTCTTTATCTTTGATTCCTCGTAATATAAATGTTAAAGCGGATTTTTCGGCAAGAATAATATTCGTACTCAACCACATCTTATCACATATCTAAACCCTAAATCCTAAATTCTAAAACCTAAAATTCTACATGACACTAAAATATAAAATAAAAGATATCTCACGTTTAACTCCAACTCTCAAGAAAATGAAAACATAATGACAACCGTATTTGTATAAGTGATACCGTATAAACGGCCGTATTGAGCCGTATAATGCCGTATAGCGACCATATTAAGCCGTATAGCGCTGTATAAGCGGCCGTATTGAGCCCAACGTATTTCTTAAACACATAGCTTAATAACAATATAGTAATCTGCCGTATAGCGTATAAATACTGTATATACGGCCGCCTATACAGTATTTTAGAATACTTAAATAAACTAAATGTTGTAATAATTATATGTATTATCAAATACTTTAATGATTTATAGGTCATGGCTGCCACTTAAGTCACAAAGTGTATTCCAAATCAACGTACAAACAAAGACAAATTTTAATACTCATTTTCTTTCATTTTAAGTGATAATTAAATATTAATTTTGTAAGAATACAGATTAAAAAATCATAAAAAATTAATTTTTATTTTTTTCCATAAAAACCTCAAAAACTGTAGATAATTCAATGTAAATAATTCAACCAACAAAAAAATATAATCTACAATATAATGGGTCAAAAATATTAACATATTTAATTTTTTCTAGAAAGTAAAAAAATCACTTAAAATAAAATAGATGATCTCAAGTTTTGTTTATTTTTTTTTAATGAACTCTTCTTGAATCTTGATGATGATATATAACATATTCAATATGAATATTTTTTTCTAAAACTAATATATTTTCTAATTTATTATTTACTACCTCTTTATTATAATAAATTTTGTGCCGTCAAAAAAATAAATAGATAAATTTTTGTATAACAACATGAGATTATTGCTGAGAAATTAGAACTAATCCACTGACACAAATCGTTCATGGGAGAAAATTGAAGTATTTGGGCCCTAACGGATTAACAGGGCGAACTGCTAATTTTAGACTTCACCGATTCACCAAGTAACCCTACGGAATTGATGTTGTAACACATGAAAGGAATCTGCGAACTATCTTTCTGGTTGTTAGATATCTAAACAGTGTCAAAAAGTTGACAAAACCAGTCTTTTTTCGTATCTTTTTTGCATGATTCTACAACGGGCGAAGAGTACGTGTGTTATGCTGACCACATTAATTTTACAACTCTTCAGCTATTAGTACGAGGGAACAAAGCCCCCTTTTTTTGTTTTATAAAAAAATATAATCCAGAGAAAAACTTTCAAATAGAATCCGAATAGAAAGAAGCATTAGCGATTTGAATGACGCCAAGTGCCCCGAGTAGCAATGGTATCCATAGTTCACTTTCTTCCATGCATATTTAGGGTAAGTACTTTGTGTTTTCTTCGTCTGGCTCACACAAGGTGCAGATTGGAGTGTTGACTCGAACTCGCGTTATTATAGCTGTCAAAGTGAATTTAAATTCAGAGTTTTAATTATGAAATTAACCTTAATTGTATGATATGCAATAGTTTTTTACAGAGAGTTCTCGCTAAAATGAAACTCTTTAATTTAAGAGAAGATATGTGCTTATATTTTGTTTATGTTTTTTTTTCATTTATATGATTTCTTTTTTTGAGAAATGTTTATTTATGGAGAAAGGCATATGAGACTATGAGAGCAATGTAAGAAGTGAGGTGAAAGTGCTACGCACATTGTCTCTTTCTTTATAACTCAAAACCTTTTCTGACATTTTTAAATATGTTTAATGAAGTTTTTAGGTTTTAGTTTATTACTTTTTTTAGTAGTTGTACCAATAATTTTCTTTTTCTTCATACTTAACACTACACATTCTTATCTTATTTTCAATTTTATATTATCTTTTATTTTAGTTTTAATATATAACTTTCTCTCGTTTGACAAAAAAAAAAAAAAAAAAAAAATATAACTTTCTCTCATATGTGATTGTGTATAAAACTTGTATATAAGTGGTGGGTCATATTGTTATACAAAAATTAGGAAGACTTGGATGCATTAGTATTCAAAAAAGAGAATATGTACAAAATAGCCTAATTTTTGAGGATAATTAACAAACTAACCATATATATACTACATTTATTTGTCGGTAACATGTCGGAGAGCACATATAATTACGTAAATGTCTTTTGTAATACGTTTTTTATTTTCTCGTATTACACGTTATTTATAAAGAACACATTGTATTTCTTGGAAAAACATTCTATTCAGTTTAATATCTCTCTTTATCATGTAATTTATAATAATACACGTTTTATTAATATCACTTGTGATGTCTTTTAAAAAAGATGATTATTTTTTAGTAATACACGATTTTTATTAAAATCACATGTGATTTCTTCTTAAGAAGATTCTATTTAGGTTAAATTTTTGAGAATTTATAGAAACTAACCTTGAATTCAAAAAGAATTCACAAACTAACCATGAGCTACAGTATCATGTCTGTAACATGTCGGAATGGCTGTGTAATTACGTATATGTCCTTTGTAACACGCTTTTTTCGAATTACATGTGATAGCATAATATATCTCTTTTTATCATGTATTTTTCCCGTACTACATGTTATTTATAAAGAACACATAGTATTTCTCGAAAAAAACATTATATTCAGTGTAATATTTGTATTTATCATGTTATTTTGTAATAATACACGTGTTTTATTAAGATCACATGTGAATATTTGTCTTTATCATGTTATTTTGTAATAAAACGCGTGTTTTATTAAGATCACATGTGATTTATTTTTTAAAAAGATGATTATTTTTTAGTAATACACGATTTTTTTAAGATTACATGTGATTTCTTTTTAAAAAGTTACTATTCAGATTAAATTTTCCATGTCAATGTTTTTTCTTAAAATAACACTACGTAACAATGTTTTTTCTTAAAAATTCACTATGGTTATTAAAATATCATGTCTTTTAGTTAAATATAACATGCGAAATTTAAATGTTACATGCTATTTTCAAAAATTTCACGAAACTGTCTTATTTTTTTATATCAAGCGACAAAGTTCTTGTAATTACTATAACTTACAAGGATAATTTCGTATTTATCCTACCCCTACCCCACAAGAAAAAGAGTTAGTTACCAAAAGTTTCTGACGCATGGTTACTTCCTTAATTCATGTGTTTTTTTTGGCTACTTTGTAATATTTCCCTAAATTTTTCCATAATAATATTTTTTCTTAAAAAACACTATGTAACAATGTTTTTTCTTAAAAATTCACTACATTTTTGAAACATCATGTCTTTTAATTAAATATAACATGTAAAATTTAAATGTTACATGCTATTTTGAAAAATATCATGAAACTATCTTGTCTATTGTTGATCTCGCAACAAACAAATGATAGTTTTGTTATTTTATTTCTTCTAACAATATGAGTTCATGACTATTTTGCAACAAAAAAACCTTTTGCTTTACTATTTTCTTAATTTTAGTGTTTTGTTTGGCTATTTATTATCCTTGAAAAAAACATAATTAAAATTTTGTGAAATTAAGCTAAAATTAGTTTTTTAAAAACTAGATTCGACAGATCACTCGATCCAGATTATAGTATATATATAACACTAAAATATTTATAAAAAAAAAACTGAAACCAATCCAAATAATCAAATAGTAGGAATAAACTAAATTTTTGAGCTCGGAAAAATAAAATTGGTTAAAAAGGAAAAAAAGATAGCTCCGATAATAACTGATAGAGAACTTGGTCACCCTTGTTGGCGGCTAAGATCAAAAGGACGGGTAATAATGTAAATAAACATAAATCGAGGGGCACTTAAACTCCATCAAGATAAAGCTAAGGACACGATCGTAAATACAAAAAGATAGCGAGAGATGCGGTCACGTGAGACGCATTTATAACCCTCCGATGAAAGCCACGTGTCACTCCGATCTAAATATCTCGACCTTATCGGGTCCCACACTTCCAATCCTCGACCTTATCCACCTTACGTAGACCTAAGATCCAACTGCCACGTCACACATAATTCAACGGCTCAGATTGACCCGATCGCCTTTAAATCATCGCTTCCTTCATGAAACATGGAAACTCTCTACAACAAGTTTCAAAAAACCCCAAAAACTTTAGATTCTTAACAATTTCAACCCTATGGGCTTACTTGATCATCTCTGGGATGATACCGTCGCTGGTCCACGGCCAGAAAACGGCCTTGGCAAGCTTCGTAAACACCATACCTTCAGTTTCCGACCTAGCTCCGGCAATGGTACGCCGTGTTTTGCTAAAAATTGAACCGATGAATCAAATCTATATAACATAAATCTAAAATTAGTAAACATGCACTAAAGTATTTGAATCTGATGATCGATCTCATGTTAAAATTGATTAAATCGTTGGTTTGATGTAATTTTCTTGATCTTGATTTTAATGGATGTGATTAGATCAACCGGAAGCTGGAAGTGCGAGATCGTACGGTGAGGATTCGCTACCGGAAGAGGCAGTGAAAGTTACAAGAAGCATCATGATTGTTAAACCACCGGGTTATCAAGGCGGTTCAGCTCCGGCTTCGCCGGCTTCGCCGGCCGGTTCTACTCCGCCGCTATCTCCTTTCTCTCCGCCGCTGTCTCCGTTCTCTGGTGAGTTTTTTTTTTAATTCATTAGTTGGTGTAGGTGAAACAGTACAGTCACTTAATTCGTTAAAGGGTGGTTTCGTCAAATTCGTTAAAGGGTAGTTCTGTCATTTCACAGTGTCACTTACATAGTTCTTGTCGATAAAATAAGATAAAGATTTGTCCCATAGTGTTGTCCATTATGATTTTGTTACTTCAATTTGGTTATGTGATATTATTGATTAGTCCATTTTGGTTGAATTAGGTCATTAATTTTGTCTAATCAAATGATGTTATACGTACCTAACATAATAAGATTTGACTAGTATGTGGATGGTAACATTTCATTGAAGTTTCTTAGATTTTAATATATGGTTGAAGAGTCAAATTTTTTTTATGGTTTATGTGAATGAAAATGAGGTTTAATTTACTAACGAAAAGCTATCATTTTGGGATGTGAACGGAGCAAACGCAGGAGGAAAGGAACCCTTTCGGTTTAGGAGACGGTCGACGTCGGATGCGTTCGTTAAGGCAGCAGGAGGATCAGAGACTGGACCAAGGAGCTCTCCTCCTACTTACGGCATGTGATCTCTAATAAAATCATGAAAAAGAGAGAAGAACAAGAAAACAGAGTACCCTTAACCGCTGTCGTTTTGACAACATGAAGTGGTTGTATTTTGCTTTTGTAGGCCAAAGAGGTGTTCTCTTATGTGTGCGTGTATGAGTTTGTTTGTGTGTTTGTTTCTATATGTAATTTCGTCTTTTCGGTTATGCTTTTTTGCGTTTGTAAATTTTTGCTGCAATGATAATAAAAACATGTAGATGCTTAACTTCAGTTTTGTTTATCTATCAATCAATTTAGCTCATCGCTCATATCCAAGTAACGAAGAAGGGCAGTCAAAACACTACATTCTGCTTTTTGGACATCAAAGTCTCTTCATAGGCCATGCGAAAACGACTCTTTGAACTTTTCCTACACTGCAAATTAAGGAACAAGAAAGGAGATGGACAAATGGATAGAGATAGGAAACTTGTAAGGGCTACCGTGTTTTTTTTTTTTGTCGTCTGGATTTATTATTTATTGCAAATTATGAGAACTGTTATATAGACGTTTCTACAACGGACAATTCCTTCCGACCCTTATTAGATCCACGACCTCTTTCACCTCCTTCTTCATGTTCACCGCCTTTACCTCCTTCTTCATGGTTTTTGATGGACACTTCCTTCTCTGTGTAGAATCATGGCGAACGGCGGTACCTTCATCTTGTAACGTCCAAGATTTTCGACCATCAAATCTCTCTCTCCTCCGTTACGTCTCGTCCTCCGGCTGCTCCAGTGAGAAAAATTACCGTGGCTGCTATAGTATTCTTGAGCATCTTTATCAGCCGTTTCTTTCCACGGGTCCTTGGTTTGGTGGTTCGTCTCCTTTCGAGATCGGGCTCCATCCGAGATGATGACTTGTTCACCCGGCGCTTTCTCTTTCCCCTTAAGCTGATCGGTAATTTGTTTAAGCTTGGCATCCATCATTTTCTCCATTTGTATCGTGAGAGCTTCGATGAGGATCTTGTTATTAGCACTAACCCCCGAGCTTGAATCGGATGTCACCATTCCTGTCAACACAACAAAGCTAAACCAGTCACTAGTTCAAAGAAAAAAAATAGCAACGATCTTCCTAAAACAGATGAACTTGAACGGACAAAATAAAATATCAAATCATGCTTAAAAATTCCAGAAACACTTTTATAAAATACTAGACTCGTCCTAGATTCAGATCCAATTGGTTTCGCAATTTAATCACAAGCCAATTATTTATGAAAATTAAAACAAGATGACAGTGAAGATGAATAGTCTAACGAGAAGATGAACAGACAAAGAAAATGAAATGAAAAGATGAACGGGTGAAATGAATGGAACGAGATGATGGAATGATGAAAGATGAGGATGGATAGAGTACGTAACTTCAGAGCGTGCTCTGATACCACTTGATAGAACTCTCCTAAGATCGGCACTCTTGAGGTTGAGTAAAGGATGGACTTTGCATCAAAGAGATGGGAATATCAAGTTGGTGCAAAGGAAATGGATTGAATGGTCTCACAAAGGTTGCGGAAGGCCTTTGATTTACCAATCTTGATCTCGTCGTTGGATATTACACACCAAAGAGAAGAACAAGAAATTGATCTAACTTGAAAGAGTTTTTGATAAAAGATTAGATGTTTTTCAAAGAAGAAGTACAAGTGACTTAAATAGAGAAGTGAGAAGGGGAAGAGTTAGTCTTGGAACAAGCTCCAAGACAACTCGGAAATAACAAAGCATTAAAACGAAAATTGAACAAAATATGACCCTTGGCCTTCAAATTTGCGAGATTCTTCTTCTTCTTTAGGATGGGCTGGGCCGAATTGATAATGGGGTTTTGGAAGTGTTACTCAAGCCTCATTAAAAACCTACTAAGGAAAATCCATTGGGACAAAACCTTAGAAGGGAAAAAGAGTACCCAAGTAACACTTAGCCCATTACCAATTGTCTTGGGCTGTTATCGAAACCAAAGTGGTTTGGATAACTCCGCTTGTGCGCTGGTCCAAGTGTCTAAGGAGTCCGCTAACGGCTTGGTTGAGAAGTCTTGTCTTTGAACGAGTCATCGGACCCGTTGGGTCGGCCAAAGCTTCCTCCGCTACATGTTGCTCCTCGGCTACGAGCTGCTCTGGTGGTTCTAGTTCCGAGTCTTGTTCGCCCATAGTCATATCATGCCCTCCCTCTTGAAAAGGATTTGTCCTCAAATCCGTTTCATCTGCAAGAGAAGGAGATAAATCATCAACGTTAAAGCTTGAACTTATGTTATACTTACCTCGGAGATCAATTTGATAAGAATTGTCATTGATCCGTTTTGAGATAGTGAATGGTCCATCGATCCTTGGCATCAATTTGCTACTCCTCTCGGCTGGGAATCGTTCCTTTCTTAAGTGTATCCAAACTTGGTCACCACTCTCAAAGACCACATGTCGCCGGCCCTTGTTAGCTTGTTCGACATATTTCTTCGTTTTTTCTTCAATGTTCTTCCGAGCACTCTCATGGATTTGCTGCACCATTTCGGCCTTTCTTTTCCCATCTAAGCTTGTTCTTACACTCAAAGGCAAAGGCATCAAATCCAAAGGAGAGGTGGGATTGAACCCATAAACAATTTGAAATGGTGAAAACTTAGAAGCGGAATGAACGGCATGATTGTATGCAAACTCTATATGCGGCAAACATTCTTCCCAAGTCCTAAGATTCTTTTTAATCAATGTGCGCAAGAGTGTGCCTAAGGTTCTATTAACCACTTCGGTTTGCCCATCGGTTTGCGGATGACAAGTAGTAGAGAATAAGAGTTTAGTTCCAAGTTTAGACCACAATGTTTTCCAAAAATAGCTAAGAAACTTGGTGTCCCTATCCGAAACAATGGTTCTAGGCATTCCATGCAAACGAACAACTTCCTTAAAGAACAAACTAGCAACATGAGATGCATCATCGGTTTTATGACAAGCAATGAAATGCGCCATCTTAGAAAACCTATCAACGACTACGAAAATCGAGTCCTTTTTGGTTTTAGTACTAGGCAATCCAAGCACAAAATCCATTGATATGTCAGTCCAAGGATGAGAAGGAATGGGTAAAGGAGTATACAAACCGTTCGGTTGCACTTTGGACTTAGCCTTTTTACACGTGAGACACCTTCCACATATTCGTTCAACGTCTCTTACCATGTGAGGCCAATGGAAATGATCCTTCATTATCTCAAGAGTTTTGGCAACTCCAAAGTGCCCCATAAGTCCTCCTCCGTGTGCTTCCCTAACAAATAAGTCTCGAAGGGAACATTTAGGAATACACAAACGGTTCCCATAAAAGAGAAACCCGTCTTGCCTATGATAGTGGCCCGAAGCCAACTTAGAACAAGCCTTATAAATTTCTTGAAAATCCGGATCAGAATCATAGAGTTCTTTAATTTGTTCAAAACCCAAAAGCTTGGCATCAAGAGTTGAGAGTAAGGTGTACCTTCGGGATAATGCGTCAGCTACGACATTATCCTTACCTTTTTTATACTTGATGACATACGGAAATGTCTCAATGAATTCTACCCACCTTGCATGTCTTTTGTTGAGTTTTTGTTGACCCTTGAGATGCTTAAGAGATTCATGATCGGTGTGTATGACGAACTCCTTCGGCCATAAGTAATGTTGCCACGTTTGTAAAGCCCAGACCAAAGCGTAAAGTTCTTTGTCATACGTCGGATAGTTCAAGGTGGCACCACCGAGCTTCTCACTAAAATAGGCTATGGGCTTCTTATCCTGCATTAAAACAGCTCTAATACCTATACCGGAGACGTCACATTCGATTTCAAAGTTTTTAAGAAAATCGGGTAAAATCAAAATAGGAGCATTAGTAAGCTTCTCTTTAAGGGCTTGAAAGGCTTTCTCTTGAGCTTCTTCCCATTTGAACCCAACATCTTTCTTGATTACTTCGGTGAGTGGTGCGGCTAAGGTGCTAAAATCTTTAACAAAACGTCTATAGAAACCGGCAAGGCCGTGAAAGCTCCGAACTTCTCCAACGGTTTTAGGGCTAGGCCACTCTTTGATTGCCTTAACTTTCTCCTCATCCACCTTAACACCATCTGCACTTACAACAAAGCCTAGGAAAACAAGATTATCCGTGCAAAAGGTGCACTTCTTAAGATTCGCAAAAAGCTTTTCCTCCCTAAGGACTTTTATGACCGATTCTAAATGATCAATATGTTCAGCCATGTTCTTGCTATAAACCAGAATATCATCAAAATAAACTACCACGAAATGACCAATGAATGCTCTAAGGACATGGTTCATTAAGCGCATGAATGTACTAGGTGCATTTGTCAAACCGAATGGCATAACTAACCATTCGTACAACCCATGTTTCGTTTTAAATGCAGTTTTCCATTCGTCTCCTTCTTTCATTCTAATTTGATGATAGCCACTTTTCAAATCAATTTTAGAGAAAATGCATGAACCATGCAACTCATCAAGCATATCATCAAGTCTAGGAATAGGGTGGCGATACTTCACCGTAATATTGTTGATTGCCCGGCAATCGACGCACATACGCCAACTCCCGTCTTTCTTTGGCACAAGTAGGACCGGAACGACGCACGGACTCATACTCTCGCGGATATGCCCTTTAGTCATGAGTTCATCGACTTGTCGTTGTAATTCCTTGGTCTCCATCGGATTGGTTCGGTAGGCCGGACAGTTTGGTAGTGTTGCTCCCGGCACAAAGTCAATTTGGTGTTCAATTCCCCGGATAGGTGGTAAACCATTGGGGCTATCTTCGGGAAACACATCTTTGTAATTCTGTAAAAGGGAAGTCAACTCACTCGGATCGGCCGGTGCAAGGTTAGCCAAAGTCGTTAGTGCTTCTTTGTAAACCAATAACAAAATAGGTTGTTTAGAGAACATAGCTTGCTTAACCTTGTTAGCCTTAATAAATAAATTAGGCTATTTACGAACTTTGGTTTCCTTGGCCGAGAGTTGGAGTTGATCCTCACATACCTCTTGTGGCGTCAATGGAATAAGAGTGGTCTTCTTGCCTTTGAACATGAACGAGTATCGGTTAGTAAAACCGTCATGGATCACTCTCCGATCCGATTGCCATGGTCGGCCTAAAAGGATATGTCCGGCGTCCATTGGTAGTACATCACAAAGAATTCGGTCCTCGTAGCTTCCGATCGCTAATGGAACAACCACTTGGTTCTTAACACTCATTTCTCCATCGTCGTTAAGCCATTGTAGTTGATACGGCTTAGGATGCTTTTGCGGCTTCAACCCAA